TGCCCTTCTTGCCAGCGAATACACGGGCAGAATCAGATGTCACAGGCTGTGCCTTGCTAATCTTTCCAAAGCTGGAAAGATCACCAGCTTTGGGAGGCGGATGAAGAGCACCAGCGCCGCTACCAGCAACAGCCCAACCGTCAGGCCCCACCTGCACGGACTCGCCCCTGCCAATTCGAGAGATTGTTTCCCGTTCGCTTTCTGTGCCCTTCTTGCCAGTGAATACACTGTCAGGACCGAATGTCATGGGCTGCGCCTTGCTGATCTTTCCAAAGTTGGAAAGATCACCAACTTTGGGAACGGGACGAAGAGCACCAGAGCGGCTACCAAGGGCAGCCCAACCGTCAGGCCCCACCTGTGCGAACTCGCGCCGATCGTCACTTCGAGAGATTGTTTCCCGTTTGCTTTCTGTGCCCTTCTTGCTGGCGAATACGCTGCTAGGACTAAACGGCATAGGCTGTGTCTTACCAATCTTGGAAAGATCACCAACTTTGGGAGGGGGACGAAGAGGACCAGAGCCACCAGCAGCGACAGCCCAACCCTCAGGCCCCACCTGTGCGAGCCGGCCATGATCGCCATCGCGAGACATTCTGATTTGTCGATTGTAAGACTCCTTATCTTGAGCGGCTTTCTTGACGGCCTATTTAAACGTGAATAAGAGTTTGAACTTAGTATGCTCCTCACGACTCACCATTGCATGAAGCTGAGCAATCGTCGCTGGTGCAGCAACTGCGTTATGGGAGATTCACTTCCGTTCTCGCAACTCAATGATATCCTGAACATTTTGAATTAGTGCGGTTAAGAGAATGTTGAAAATTTGGTACCGACCTGCAACATGAGCTGCACCCGTGAGCTTACATTCTGGCTCTTGGAAAGCTCCTTCATCCGAGAGAAATAAACGTCCATATGGGCCCGGACCTTCGGTGTGTCGAGACTGGCGCCGACAGTGGTCAGCAATGTGCACACACTTTCGATCTCTTCCTCCTCGGGGTTCTCCACGTTTCCGAGCAGTTTCTTGATACATTCATGCATGATACGTTCGGTCAGCATCTGTACTTTGAAGAGTTCCCCAATGAACTTGACCAGACCGAGACCTTGTCGCCTAGCCTTCTGTGCATCGTGGTATTCATCAGAATATGGCGCGACTTCCTCAGTCTCACCCTCCTTGCTCTGCTGGTTGGCAGCCTTTGCAGCTTCATCCCTCGAAGCTTTGACAGCAGCAGCAGCAGCGGTTGCCTCCTTGGCTACCCAACCGCGCTCAAAGTCTTCTTGACATCTGTTGAGCAAGTATTTTCGGAATAGTTGACCACCAGCGATGGGCTTTCCGTCTGTGGCCTTGATACCGTCATCCTGGACTTTGGAGCTGATTCGTTCCATCATTTTCCTGCAAAGGAGAGCGTACATCTCCGAGGTAGCTTCATCAGTAGCCTTTTCAAAGACAAGTCGAATAACTTGAACGAGAGTCCGTCCGTCCTTCTCTTTCTCCGATTTATTCGCCCAAGCAATAAGTTGGTCAGAGATGGAGTCGAACTTCTCCATAGTCAACTCGTTGAGTAGAGCCTTGACCTTGCGATCCACAATGTCGGGTGAGTCACGATCAATTTGCATCGCCTTGAGATTCCCTCCGGGCTTGCTTCGAGTACGATCCATGGGTGGAGCACCACCAGCACCGTCTTGGCGGGCTGTTCGTTGGGTGTCTTGAATTGATTACTGGACATCCTGACTTCAAATCTAATTGAGCTTGAAAGTGGAAGCATACCCGTGGAAAAGGAGTCGTCAGGTTTATCGAATTGAGGATTTGGACCACCGGCAAATCCTGACATGGACATGTTGAGGTTGTCGAGTGGTGTGGTGTTCAAGTCGAGTTCGTTAATTAGTGCTAGTTGCTTATCTAAGCAAATTGAGGCTCCTGGGTCACTCATTGCAAGCCTCATGACCAAGTAATCATCTCCTTCCTGACAAGTTATGACTGATTGACTTCCAGTTCACCCCCCCCCCCCCCTCTTTCCAACAATGGTCCAATTCTACTCCGAAATCCCAGACTTCCTCATCCCCTGAATGCAATCCCAAAAGATGTTCTGGGTCGCCCCCCTCTCTCTCCAACCGGCCACATCAACGTCTCGCCAAAAGGGTACGAAGGGACTTTTAATATTGTCGATAGGAAAACGGTTCGGTATGAGGATCTTAGTGGCAATGGTGCGTATTTGGACTTACTTCAATGCCCAGGAGTTGGTTGAAGGGGGAACGAGAAACGTGTGTTAGGTGTAGAAACGATCGCGCACGTACGTGAAAATGGACGTATAACGATTATGTTCTGTGCTTTTGAGGGGCCGCCTACTAGGATTACGAGGCTTTTTGGACGGGGTACGCACGCTATTTCCTGTGGAATTCAATCTTGAACGTGAATGCAAAGGGACTGTACACGAATTCGGCACCGTCGATAAAAGACAACCAGGCTCGCGGTCTGTAATTGGACGTGTATAAAGTCAGCTCCGTACGTCCCTTTCCTTTCCTTTCCCTCCTCCCTCCTTTTCACTCAGTACACGATGTACATGTACAGTCATGCGGCTACGCAGTCCCGCGACATACATTCAAAGCGCACCGGCTCAAGCTGAAAGAATTTTTCGCCCGTAAAGAGGACGAGGACATATTCGCTTCAGCCCATTCAACCGAGAGTGAACCCCCGCGCCGGGAGAAGGGGCTGAAATACTATTGGAACCTGAAGAATACACAGCGTTTGGACGGGTTACCCGGTGTATTGGTCGCGCCTGATTCGACGAGGCCGTTCGAGAAGCGGATGGCGGGATTCGCTCGCACTTCATTCGCTCGTATGGCGGAATTGATTTGGATGACCACAGCTATCCTTGCTGAAGCGCTGTACTGGTCTATGGTTAGAATAGTTTCGGAGAGTCGATTCAGGCTGAGCGCTGAACGTTTTGAACAATTTGGAATCGCACTTGATGTTTTGAATTGCACACTCCAGAGGGGGCTCGGGGATTGGAAAAAAAGACTCGGGTCGATTTCGGATGTAGATTGCGCCAGCTGGGAAATCGATTTCAAGTTCTGAAGGTTCCAAGGTTAGAATAGTTTTAAAGAGTTGATTCAGGCCGAGCGCTGAACGTTTTACAATCTGGAATTGCACTTGATATTTTGAATCACAGTTTCTTCATTATATTATCAAGCCGAAAGCGCAGTCACATACATAGTAAGCGCGAATGATCAAAGGTTGCATCCAAGTGCCACTGCTACGTACAGTACTCTATGCCTCGCCGCAGCCTCAAGCTCAGCGCTAACAAGCGTGAGCGATCTTTTTGCAAGATGTAATTGTGCAAGGATCATAACAGAAGCAATCAACACCTTTAAATCGCACACCTCTGCCAGCGATTTTAATGTCAATCCCCAGCCCGTGGTAGTCCCACTAATACAAACACTCCCCTCGCCACTCCCAATAACCAGGCTCTCCCGAGCGATAGTCGATATCATCCCCATCCGAATCAAAATCATGATACAATCGATCGTCAATATCATCCCCATAATCATCCCACCCATCCCAAATCACATCGGCAACGATTTCTCTAAGTTCGTCAACAAGCTCTGTCGTCAGGCGACGACATCGAGAAAGCGTCAGCTCGCGCACTTCGGCCTTCCTCTCGTAACGTTCCACCAGGCAGTTCTTCAAAGCCTCCAGCTTGTCATAATCAAAATCCGTGTCTTCGATTGTAAGATGGAGCAGAGAGGGAAAGTAGACTGCAAGGGGCATCTCTCTCCGATTGCGTGAGCGTTTCCACGTTGATAGATTCGCGGACACATTTGCGCTAGTGGCAGTAGTACTAGGTTCAGCAATCATGGCTGACA